TTGGCTCAAGTCATGATCTCACAGTTAGTGGATTCAAGCCCTGTGTCAGGCTCTGAGCTGTTGGCACAGAGCCTGGAGCCTGCTTCAGATTCTGTGTCTCCCTCTCTCTCTGCCTCTCCCCCACTTGCACTCTGTCTCTCTCAAAAATAAAGAAACTCATTAAAATTTTTTTAATAAAAAAATAAAATTGTAAATATAGGAGTGCCTGGGTGGCTTAGTCAAGCATCAGACTCTTGATTTCAGCTCAGATCATGATCCCGTGGTTCACTGAGTTCGAGCCCCACATCTGGCTCTGTGCTGATGGTGCAGAGCCTGCTTGGGATTCTCTCTCTCTCCCTCTCTCTCTACCCCTCCTTTACTCATGTTGACTCTTTCTCAAAAAATAAACATTAAATAAATTAAAAAATAAATAAAATTATAATTATAAAATGAAGCCACCTTTTCTAAAGATGTGTAGTTTCTAGCTATGTCTATGGATATGGCTTATAAGAAATGATAACCTAGTATCACTGGGCACCTCAGCACCCAGACCATGATCTCTAAATATCATATCCACTGTCCAAAAGAAAAAATAGTTCCCCAGAGAAATGGCAGATTGTAAGCCTGGGGTAGAAAATTTTCAAGAAGTACCTGGAAATCTACACCAGAAAGCAAGAACTAGAATTATCACAGATACATGACATCATATCAAAAGAACACAGGAAATAATCTGAAAGAACTCACATTGCTCTAGAATGGGCAGTTTGATCATCAAATGAATGATGACAGCAATAGAATCAAACTCATCAAATTTGTCTGTGTGTGCGTGCACGTGCACAGGCATGAAGCATGCATGTGTGCTTTAAATGCATGAATTAACAATAACATTTAAGGGGCACGTGGGTGGCTCAGTCAGTTGAGCGTCCAACTTCGGCTCAGGTCAAGATCTCACAGTCCATGGGTTTGAGCTCCATGTCGGGCTCTGTAATGACAGCTCAGAGCCTGGAGCCTGCTTCAGGATTCTGTGTCTGCCTCTCTCTCTCTGCCCCTTCCCCACTCACTCTCTTTCTCCCTCAAAATAAAATAAAGACCAAAAACTTTTTTTAAAAAATAACATTTAAAAAAGATAAATTAAAAAAAAAATAAATAAAACAAGATAAATCAACTTTCTAAATGGCACAGTGAGTACCTCAGTGAACCTACTCTCCCACAAAAATATCAAAATTACTGACTCAACAATGACAATCAACCATTTCAAAGTTGTAAATTAACTGAAGACACACAACAAACTGAAAGTAACTATTCAAGACAAGTTACTGGACCTGGTTAGAAGAGGAGGGTTGTGGCTTTTTAAACCAGGGCTATTCCCATTCCTCATCCCTCCTCAGCTCAGAACTGAATATACTAACCACAAGAAAACTCCATGGTAAACTCATTAGCCGAATAAGGAGGAGAGAGGAAAGAACAATTAAAATTAAAAACAGAGCAATCTAAACAACAGAAAGTAAACCCTGAAAAAAATGACGAGAGTGTCAAGGAGCTGTAGAATAGCAACAAAATAAATCTAACACTCGTGCCAGCAGCGTACCAGAAAAAGAGAAAGAGGACAGTGCTGAAAAAGTGTTTGAAGAAATAATGGCTGAAAATTTTTTAATTTTGGCAAAAAATTTTTCAATAAACCTATAGATTCAAGAAACTAAGAAAACTTCAAACAAGATAAACCCAAGGAAATATGTGCAAAGATACACCAAGAGTCAAACTTCTGAAAACTAAAGACAAAAAAATCTTGAAAGCAGCAAGAGAAACAATACCTCTCTTAAGATGAATGGGGGAGAGGGGATTCCAATGACAGCAGATTTCTCAGAAACCATGGAGGCCAGAATGCACAGTACTTTTCAAGAGATGAAAAAAAGGCTGTTCTACCCAAAATTCTATTTCCAGCAAAAATATCCTTCAGTGATGAACAGCGAAATCAAGACACTGTCATAGGAAGGTAAAATATTTTTCACCAGCAGATCAACTGTTAAGAAAAAAAAATGGCTTAAGAAAATTCTATAAAAAGAAAATAGAATGACAAAAGAAGGAATCTTGGAAAATCAGGAATAAGGGACAACTTCAAGGGTAAAAATATTGGAAAATATAAAACAGTTTCCTTCTCTTCCTGACTTTAAATTATGTCTGACAGTTGAGGTAAAAATTTTAACAGTGCCTGATGTGGCTCTCAAAGTATGCAGAGGAAATATTTAAGACAATTATAAAGGTGAAACAATATAAAAGGAGGCACAGTATCCACACTTTGCTCGAATTCATAAAATGATGACACCAGCAAAGTATGATAAATTATGTATATATAGTGTTATACCTAGAGCAACCCCTAAAAAGCCACACAAAGAGATACATTAAAAAACACAACGTACAAATCAAAATGGAATTCTAAAAAAGTTGAAGTAACCCGTAAGAAGGCAGAGAGAGGACAAAAAACAAAAAAGAAAAAAAACACAATAAACAAAAACAGCAGGCCTGAGTCCTAATAATTACATTAAATGTAAATGGTCTAAATACACCAACATAAGACTAAAACTCTTTTAAATGGGTGTATGTTTTATAGGAAATTTCTAACATAATGACATAGGTAGAAAATGAAAGGATGGAAAAAATATATCATGTAAACATTAATCAAAAGAAAACAGGAATAGGCCAGGGTGCCTGGGTGGCTCAGCCGGTTTAGTGTCCAACTCTTTATTTCAGCTGAGGTTATAATCTTACAGTTCATAAGTCTGAGCCCTGTGTCAGGCTCTACGCTAACAGTGTGGAGCCTACTTGGGATTCTCCCTCTCTCTCCCTCTCTCTCTCTCTCTCTCTCTCTCCCCCCATTCTTGGCCGCTCCCCACTCTATAAATAAATAAAGAAACAAACTAACTAACTTCAAAAGGGGAAGAAAAAAAGAAAACAGAAATAGGTAAATCCATAGAAACAGAAAGTAAGTTAATGGTTGCCAGAGACTGGATAGAATAAGAAATGACTACTAACAGTATCCCTTTGGGTGAGATGAAAGATTCTGGAATTAGCCGTGATGGTCACATAACTTTGTGAATATACTAAAAATCATGAATTGTGTACTCTAAATGGGTATGTGAATTATATCTCAAAAAACAAAAACAGGGGTGCCTCGGTGGTTCAGTTAGTTGATCATCCTACTCTTGATTTTGGCTCAGGTCATGATCCCAGAGTCCTGGGAGGGAGCTCCATGTCAGGCTCTACACTGAATGTGGAGACTGCTTAAGATTCTCTCTTTTCCCCTCTGCCCCTCTCCCCTGCTTGCATTCTCTCTCCCTCAAATTAAAAAAAAATTTTTTAAAACCTCAGTAAAGTTTTTCAAAAACCTCAATAGTAAAAAAAAAAGCAATTATTAATTTAAAAAGCAAAGAAACAACATAATAAATGAGTCAGACATGAAGACACTGTACTAAAGAGGATATAAGGATGACAAACAAGTACATTTTCAACATCACTATCCATTAGGAAAATGCAAATTAAGACCAGAAAGCTGTCATTACACACCTATCAGAATGACCTGAAAAACAGTGACAATACCAAAAGGCAAAAGGGATGTGAGATCTCTCATCCATTGCTGGTAAAAATGTACAGATACTCTGGAAAGTAGTTTGGCCATTTCTTTTTTTTTTTTTTTTTATGTTTTTATTTTATTTTTTGAGAGAGAGACAGAGTGTGAGCGGGTGAGGGGCAGAGAGAGAGAGGGAGACACAGAATCTGAAGCAGGTTCCAGGCTCTGAGCTGTCAGCACAGAGCCCGATGTGGGGCTCGAACCCACTGACTGTGAGATCATGACCTGAGCCAAAGTCAGCCGCTTAACCGACTGAGCCATCCAGGCGCCCTGGCCATTTCTTTATTAAACATATGATCTAGCAATTGTGCTCCTGGGCATTTATCCCAGAAAAGTGAACTCTTACGTACAGGCTTGCTCACAGCAGCTTTATTTGTAATGGCCAAAAACCGGAAGCAAACAAAACATACTACAATAGATGAATAGTTAACCAAACTGTAGTAAGTGGAATATTGCTGAGCAATAAAAGAGAACAAATTCCTAATACACATAAGAATTTGGAGAGCTCTCAAGAGCATTATCTTGAGCGAAAAAAGCTAATCTCAAAAAGTCACATACTGGGGAGCCTGGGTGGCTCAGTCAGTTAAGTGTCTGACTTCAGCTCAGGTCATGATCTCATGGTTCGTGAGTTCAAGCCCCGAATCAGGCTCTCTGCAGACAGCACAGAGCCTGCTTTGGATCCCCTGTCCCTCTTTCTCTCTGCCCTGTCCCGGTGCCTGTGCATGCACACACATGCACACGCACACACACACTTTCTCTCTCAAAAACAAACATTAAAAAAAAGTCACATACAATATGATTCTATTCATGTAACATTCTTGAAACGACACAGACATGGAGAACAGATTAACAGCTGCCTGGGGTTAGAGAAGGTTGGAGGAACGTAAGGGGGAGACGTAACTATGAAGGGGTAGTAAAGAAGAGCTCTTTGTGGTGATGGAATAGTTCTGTATCTTGATGGACGTGGTGGTTACAGGAATCTACATGTGATAAAATGACAGAGAACTACATATGCTTTATCCCTATGTCAGTTTCCTGGCTTTTGTATTGTACTATACTTACATGAGATGTAACAAATGGTAAAAACTGGGTGAGGGGTACACAGGACCTGTTAGTACCATCGTTACAACTTCCCATGAATCTATTACTATTTCAAAATAATTCAATATTAACTATCAAAATTTTTTAAAAAATTTAAGATGTCTGTTCATAAAATTTATTTGCTTTTCCAGCAAACATTATGAGTTCTCTGCTAGGTACAGAAAAAGATGACTCACACCTTCAAAGAGCTTTCTGTTCACTGGCAGAAAGACAAGTCAGACAATATAGTACAGGTAAGTAATACAACTCTGCACTACGCACTATAAAAATGATTTCTGCTCAGCAAAACCAATACCTGCATCAAGCTGCTGCTCCCCGTTCATTTCCACAGAACATGGGCTATCTTCTCCCCACACAGAGGACAGGCTTTATGGTTCTGCTATGGTCTGAAAATTACTTGCCAGTCTCAAGCATCTGTTCAATGGGCATCCAAGGGTCCAAATGAAAGTGCTGAAAAATAAAAAAGAACACATCAACAGTCTAAGGCCCCAGTGTGTTTACTCACTCCTAAGACCTGCCACCCCAGTCGGTTAAGAGGGCACATGAAACAGAAACACATTGGCAGAAGAGATGGTATTATAGAAAAAATTGATACCTTCCCTAATTTTGAAGAATGTATGTGTGGGTGTGAATGTACCTGTGTATACGTAGAGATAGCGCTATCAAGATCTTGGTATCTAAAAATTGCAACAAATTAACATTATATGAATCATGACCCTTTAAACTCAGATTATAATGCTTAGCACCATGACTCCTACCCACAAAAACTCTAATTCCTAATGAATGCCTGAGGGAAAAATGGTAGCTTTCAATGTTCTATCTTACCCAATGAATAAGTTCAAGGATATATTACTTTATCTAGTTTTCCATTCCATTTATCGAGAATATTACGCAGAACCAAAACTTATCAACTACCTTAGTCTACAGTTACACTTACCAAGGGAATGCCTCCAAAATGAGCCCTGAACCAATGTATTCTCTTTCTAAAAAACCTTATTGGGATATGATTCACATATCAAAATTTCCCACTTTAAGTGTATAATTCCACAGTTTTTTAGTAAATTTACAGAGTTGTGTAACCACCGCTATATCCAGTTTTAGAATATTTCTATTACCATGAAAAAAACTCCATTCTCACTTCTGTTCAGGCACAGAAAAGTACCTGACCTGCCCAAGGCCCAACAACTAGGAAGCGGCAGAACCAGGTTTCAAACCAAGCAAAATGTCTGTAGTCCATGTCCTCGAACATTATATTTTACCCCCTCTCAACAGGAAGAACTGAGGGTTTCTTTAACTGTGGAAAGGAAATGATCAAATCTGTGTTTTACAAAAGATCACTCTGGACCCAAATAGAGAAACCATAGGGAGTGACAGCAAAGACAACATACAAGCATAAAACTTCCATGTGGCAAAGGACACCATAAATAATGAGGCGCCTGGGTGGCTCAGTAGGTTGAGCATCTGACTCTTGATTTCGGTTCAGGTCATGATCTCAGGGTTGTGGGATCGAGCCCCACATTGGGCTCCATACCAAGTACGGAGCTTGCTTGAGATTCTCTCTCTCGCTCTCTCTCCTCCTGCCCTGATCACTCTCTCTCTAAAATTTAAAAATTGTTTTAAAGAAGATATCATAAATAAAGTTCAAAAGTAAGAGAGTATATTTTAAAAGTTCTCATTACAAGAAAAAAATTTTGTAACTATGTATAGTGATTGAAACTAACTAGACTGAGTTTAGTCATCACTTTGCAATGTATATCAACATCAAATCATTATGTTGTACATCTGAAACTAACAGAATGTTATTTGTCAATTATACTTTACTAAAAATAAATAAATAAATAAGACAAATGAGATGGGTGAAAATATAATGGGCTAATTTCTACATACAAGCTCCTATAATTCAACATCAAAAAAGAAAAATGAGCAAAATATGTAACTAATCCACATTTTAAAAAAAAGAATTAAAGCTTATAAAATGTGCTCAGTCTCATTAGCAGCAATGAAAATAATTTTTAATTATATACTATTTTTTTCACCTTTCGGATTGGTAAAATTTTTAAAACTAAAAAACTTGTTGGCAAGTAAGGTAGATGAATGGGAGAACTTGGGAGTACAGATTTGTACCTCTTTTTTGAAGACAAGTTTAATGAAAACTAACTTGACCTATATAGATTTAAAAGACACAAACTCTCTGAGCAGTAATTCCAGTATTAAGAATCTTTCAGGATGCCTGGGTGGCTCAGGTAGTTAAGTGTCCTACTCTTGATTTGTGCTTAGGTCATGATCTTGTGGTTCTTGAGTTCAAGTCCTGCACTGGGCTCTGTGCTGAGAGTGCAGACCCTGCCTGAGATTCTCTTTCTCCATTTCCCTCTGCCCCTCCCCATCTCTCTCTCTCTCTCTCTCTCTTTCAAAATAAATAAACTTAAAAAAATAAAAGAATCTTTCATACAAAACACATGTGTTGAAGGCTTCATAACCAGTGATGTTTTGCCACAGTATCTTTAACAGTGAGAAACCAGACAACCTATATGTCTACCAAATGGGAATGGGATGGCCACATACACTATGATATACTGATACTAGGATATTGTCTACAATCATTAGAAGAATTTAGGTGGACTCAGAAAAGCACATGGAAATATTGTCTATACTGCTGAGAGGAAAAATCAAGTGAAGGACATTATATTAACTTTTTAAAATCCTGTGTCCATTGTTTACTCGACTACATGACTTTTAACAAATGACTTAACTCATTTGTGCCAAAGGCATCACTTGTAAAAGAAGGAGACTAGTTCTGTACCTACTTCAGAGGGTTGCTATAAGGATAAGTAAGGCAATCCATGAAAAGCACTCAGCAGAGAGCAATGGCAAATACCAAGCTAATACTAACTGTATACAATATTGCCTGATTCGAGTTCCTATGGCACTTAGTGCATCATCTCTACACAGAACACCCCATTACTACATCATGGGATTGACATGGCAAAGCCAGTGCTATGTAAATATCTGTTGCTTTGAAGGTGTCACCCACTGCTTATGTTCATAAACTCTTGAAATATGCCAGCACATTTCGTGCAAAGAGCCACCTAGTGCAAAATTATAATATATATGGCAATATTGAATATATAACATATTCAAATATATAATAATCAAAAAAGGCAAGAGAAAGTGGAAACCACAAGTCTTATGAAGCTGAAAGATAAGGCTGTGATATTTTTTTCAATTTCACAGCATCACTAAGATTTTAACCAATGAACAATCAGTTCATCATCTTAATAGGATTATGAGAAATTGCTGAAGCTTTTTGCCATAGAACATCTGTTAAATCTCTTTCTTTATTGCTAGTGTGCTTTCTATGCAATGAAGGGGAAAAAAACAGTAAAATATCCAGGAGCTTAGAAAATGGAAATTTAACTCACTTTTCATTTATTTCCTTTTATTTCAGTTATTTCCTATTTGTATTAAATTGTTTTACTGTCTTTGTTTATTTTATCACTGGTTTTGGTGATAATTCCTCTTTTGGTGACCAGAACACATTAGAGTTATGCATTTAAATAAGTTACCATGAACTAACTGATCTGAACCTTGCTAATCTTATTTACAATATTTCAGTGAGGGGCGCCTGGGTGGCTCAGTCAGTTGAGCATCTGACTCTTGATTTCGGCTCAGGTCATGATCTCATGGTTCATGAGGTAGAGTCCTGGCATCAGGCTCTGCACTGACAGCATGAAGCCTTCTTGGGATTCTCTCTCTTCCTTTCTCTGTCCCTCCCTTGCTCACATACATGCTCTCTCTCTCTCTCACTCTCTCTCAAAATAAATAAACATTAAAAAATAGAATATTTCAGTGAAATAGACAGTGCCTAGATATTTACAGAGGGCTCTAATAAGACAAACTGAAGCCAGTACTATCAGTATGAGGCATACTAAAATTTGAAATATTCTAAGAAATATACATAAAAATTTTAAAAAGCAAAGCTAAGGGTAGAAAATAAACTTTGAGGTCAAACACACACACACAAAAACAAAAATGAAAATGAAACCCAGGCAGAATAAAACGAAACTGAATTTACTATTTCATTTTTGAAGATACATCAGTATAAAACCATGCAATAATTCCCTTTTAACACTCTTTTAAAAGACCTAAAAGTCCTACGAACAACAAACAGCTCTCATCTTATTTTAGCTTATACATGCAGCCCACACCCTAAGCCACTACTACCAGGCTTCACATTAATGCACTTTGTTTTGGTTTTTTTTTTTTTAATAGTTTATTGCCAAGTTGGTTTCCATATAACACCCAGCGCTCATCCCCACAAGTGCCCTCCTCCAAGCCCATCATCCCCCTTCCCCTCCCTCCCGACCCCTATCAGCTCTCAGTTTGTTCTCAACATTCAAGAGTCTCTCATGGTTTGCCTCCCTCCCTCTCCCCCACTATTTTCCCCCTTCTTCTCCCCCATGGTCCTCCGTTAAGTTCCTCCTAATCCTCCTATACATGCAAAAATAAGATAAATGTCCTTCTCTGACTGACTTAATTAGCTCAGCATAACACCCTCAAGGTCCATCCATGTTGTTACACATGGCCAGATTTCATTCTTTCTCATTGCCATGTAGTATTCTATCATATAGATAAACCACATCTTCTTGATCCATTCATCCATTGATGGACACTTAGGCTCTTTCCATGTTTTGGCTATTGCTGAGAGTGCTGCTATGAGAGGGTACATGTGCCCCTATGCATCAGCACTCCTGTATCCCTTGGGTAAATTCCTAACAATGCATCCCCAAAGGCAAGGGAATCAAGAGCAAAAATGAACTACTGGGACCTTATCAAGATTAAAGGCTTCTGCACGGCAAAGGAAACAATGCATAAAACTAATAGGCAACCGACAGAATGGGAAAAGACAGTTGAAATGAGATATCAGATAAAGGGCTGGTATCCAAAATCTATAAGGAACTCACCAAACTCCACATCTGAAAAACAAACAATCCAGTGAAGAAATAAGCAGAAGATATGAACAGACACTTCTCCAAAGAGAACATCCAGATGACCAACAGACACATGAAACGATGCTCAGCATCCCTCCTTATCAGGGAAATACAAATCAAAACCACACTGAGATACCACCTCACACTGGTCAGAGTGGCTAAAATGAGCAAATCAGAGAACTCTAGATGCTGGTGAGGATGTGGAGAAACAGGCACCCTCCTACACTGTTGGTGGGAATGTAAACTGGTGCAGTCCCTCTGGAAAACAGTGTGGAGATTCCTCAGAAAATTAACAATAGAACTCCCCTATCACCCAGTAATGCACCTTGTTTTAAAGGCTAAGATTAAACACTGAATAAGAGCATTTATTACATGGAAAAGTTACAATGATGCAAGAGAGATTTCTATAGGATGGATCCTCAGCTAAATGATTTAACAAATCCAACATAAATAACTCTTAAA